AGCATAAAAGCGCTTGAGATGGGTAACATGCCAAGATCGCGGCAGTTGTCGTCCTTTCATATCTTCAAGTTCATATGCTCTTCTCTCGAGCACCTTGGTGACTGTGTATGGTCCTTCCCAGTTGGCTTCAAGCTTCCCGACGTGTTTTAGAGCATCTGCTCGTTTGAGGACGAGATCTCCAACCTGAAATCGTCTGGTACGGACTTTCCTATCGAAGGCTGCATGCACTTCTGCTTATATTCCATGGATCGCACCCAGGCCTCCTCTCGTCCTTCTTCTATCATGTCGAGGGCCTCTTCGACATCCCTTCATTCTTCGTTTCCTCATAAAATGTCGATCGGTGCGAATTTAAGCCAACTTCGATAGGCAGAAGTGCATCCATTCCGTAAACCATGTGAAATGGTGACTGGCCTGTCGAGCTTCTTGGTGTCGTCCTATAAGCCCATAGGACTGTTGTCAGTTCGTCGACCCAAGCACCTGATGCTTTCTCCAACCTCTTCTTCAATCCTTGGAGAATCGTTCGATTAGTCACTTCGACCTGTCCATTAGCCTGGGGGTGTGCGACCGAGGCGAACCTTTGCTTTATTCCCATGTCAAGACACCACGCTTGAATTCGTTTCCCCTGGAACTGAGTTCCATTGTCAGAAATTAGCACCTTCGGGACTCCGAATCGGCAACAGATATTGTTAAACAGGAATTGGATCATCTTTTCCTCCGTAATTTTCGCCAATGATTCCGCTTCGACCCACTTGGTAAAATAGTCTACAGCGACTACTAGAAACTTCCTCTGTCCCGTCCCCATCGGTAGTGGTCCTACCAAATCGATTCCCCATTGCGCGAAGGGAATCGGGGTGCTTATGGTCGTCATGTACTCGGCGGGGATGTGAGTGATTTGCCCATGTCGTTGACATTTTTCGCACTTCTGAACCAGCTGCTCTGCCGCCGCTCGCATCTTGGGCCAATAATATCCTGCTCGCAGGGCTTTGCCCGCCAAGGCGCGTGATCCTATATGTGCTCCGCAACATCCTTCATGTATTTCTTTTAAAACGAAATCTCCTTCATCTTCGGAGGCGCATCGCAGGTGAGGTCCGACCAGCGATTTTTTGAACATGACCCCCTCGACTTAAAAGTACTTGCTCAGATATCGAGCCACCCTTTCTGCTTCCTGCTTATCTCCTGTAGGTACTTGACCCTGCAGGAGTTCGTGAATCGGCTTTCTCCAATCATCCTTTTCCACGACTTCCATCGTTTCGCCCAACACACTCCCTTCTAAGTGCATAGTAATGATAGAACTTCCCATCTTCCCCTCATTCGAGCTTGCTATTCTCGCAAGCCAATCTGCTCGTTTGTTTTCTTCCCGAGGGATTTGCGTTAGTTCGAACTTCTCCAAGCCCTGCACAAGGCTTTGGATTTCTTCGACATATTTCATCATTCGCTCTTCTTTGATTTCGCAATTTCCCAACACTTGTCCAACGACTAACTGCGAGTCGGAATGTGCTACGACTTCCGACGCTCCTCCACCAATTCCAAGTTGAATTCCCTTGATAAGTGCTTCGTACTCGGCTTCGTTATTCGAGGCCTTAAATCCCATTCTAATAGCAAAGTCAAGTTGGTCGCCTTCGGGTGAGACGAGGACGATTCCAAGACCTGATCCTTTGGCCGCCGATGACCCATCGACATGAGCGACCCATTTCTTTTCTTCCCCCTTGGTACCTTCTTGGATGAAATCTGCTAGGGCCTGGGCC